GATTTCTCTGTATTGTCCTGGAACTCACTCTGTAGACCAGGCTGGCCTTGAGCTCATAGAGATCTACCTGCTGGTCTCCCAGTACTAGGATTGAAGACGTGCACCACCACACCCAGTCATGATAATTTTTTTCAAAAAAGGAAAATGGATACTGTCCATCACATAATATAGTGCTCCCATTTCACAAGAAAAAACAAACAAAAACAAAAAACAAAGACAAAAAAACAATTCAATGTGAGAACTCACCCAAAACTGTAAAACTAACTAGTAGCTTCCTTGGCCAGGATTATATGAAGGGAGAAATCAAAACCCAAACAGATCACTGTGATTTTTTTTAGGTGGATGAATGAAAATTATCATATACTTGTACAACTCCCAATTTCCAAATGGAAATTCCCAAAAATTACTTATAAATTTGCTCCTAACAGCCTAGAATTCAGGCTTTACTTTAAATAACTTAAAAAAATTAACTTTATTTGCATGAAGGTATCAGATCCCCTGGAACTGGAGTTACAAACAGATGTGAGCTGCCATGTGGGTGCTGGGACTTGAACCTGGGACCTCTGGAAGAACAGCCAGTGCTCTTAAGCACCGAGCCATCTCTCCATAATTTAAAGAGAATATGAGTCATGCCCTGCTATCCACTTACAAATTTTTTTCAGCCAGGTATGGAGGTATACACCTGTCATCTCTATCCCCAAGTGGTAACCAAGGTAAGGCTGGGCTAGGCAGGCTACCCAGGGAAGCCCTCTCTCATGAACAAACAGAGCTGGAGATGGCTCAGTGACTGAAGGCACGTTCTGACAAGCCTGATGACCTGAGGCCAATCCTTGGAACCCACAGGGCAGAAGGATCAAACTGCCTCTCACAAAATGTCTTGATTTCCAGTGTCATGGCATGTATGGTCCCACACCCACAAAATTTACATAAATAAACAAAATGTCAGATCCGTGTAAGCAGAGCGTCACTTCCTCCTACAGGAATGGTACATTTACTCCCTTCTTTCTGACCATGCCATCCCTGCCTTGGTGTTAAAACACCAGCCCAGAGGCAGTAAACTAAAGCACTGGAGAAGTCTACATATTTGGTAATTATCCACACACCTACATTAGCTCTTCTTTTTTTTCTTTTTCTTTTTTTGGTTTTACGAGACAGGGTTTCTCTGTATTGTTTTGGAGGCTGTCAGTCCAGCCGGGCCTCGAACTCACAGAGATCTGCCCGCTTCTGCTTCCCGAGTGCTGGGATTAAAGGCGTGCGTAGCTCTTCTTTAAATTTAAATACCTACTGTTTTCCAGTGGAAATAGCTCAAAACATAATGTCTACATTATTCTACTCAGTTGGCTCTAAAATAAACCAGACCTATGAGAATTATACACACATAAGACAAAACAAAAACAAACTTAGAAATATCAAATGGACTAAGATACATATACCTTAGAAAATTCTAACCTAATCACATCACAAAAAGAAACATAAGAAATTTCAGCTTTCCTGAAATGTTTTATTTTCACTAATTTATTTATTTAAGCTTTTGGAGACCTCACCTTGCAGGATAACCTGAAACTCAATATGTAGCCCAGAGTGGGCCTGAACTTACATCAATTCTCTCTTTTCTTTTTGGTTTTTTCAAGATAGGGTTTCTCGCTCTGTAGACCAGACTGGCCTCGAATTCAGAGATCCACCTGCCTCTGCCTCACCAGTGTTGGACTAAAGATGTGTGCCACCACTGCCCAGCCCATAGCAATCCTCTTAACCTCTCAAGTGCTGGCACTGGGATTACAGAGTGAACCAACATGCCTGGTGCGGCTGTAACACGTGAAATGTGACACACACACAGAGCTCACTGTCAGCAGTGCCACCCAGTTCTGTTCTGACACCCATGGAAATTCCAAGCACATGACCCATATTGCTGGAGAAGCAAACCCCAAACCTGGTGGTGTTGTTACTCCCTAGTTAAGAAAAGCTCTCAGCCGGGCGTTGGTGGCGCACACCTTTAATCCCAGCACTCGGGAGGAAGAGGCAGGCGGATCTCTGTGAGTTCGAGGCCAGCCTGGTCTACAAAGTGAGTTCCAGGACAGCCTCCAAGGCTACAGAGAAACCCTGTCTCGAAAAACCAAAAAAAAAAAAAAAAGCTCTCATGACTGTCTCTGTCTACACACTTGAGCACAGTATTAACAAGTCTCCAAAATCTGGCTCGAGTTTATCTTTTCAGTCCCAGGTCTACTTACGACAACAGGCATATCCACACTTCCCATCTCCAAGCGAGAAGCCCATTTTCTCAGCTCTAAACACTCTCCTGCCCACCATCTGCTGAAATTCTAACCCCTTCAAAACTGCAAAGTCCTGTGCTAAGAGCTCAGCCTTCCAGTCCAGGGCTAGACCCACTGATTTCCACTGACAGCTGCACTACCTTGAGCACATAAATCAACAAATCTATTTCATTACCAGATACGACAGAGGGTCTTAACCCCCTTTGTACTTTATGAGGTAGCTGTGTATCAAGATGATGGCTATACATCATCTTAAAACATAGTAGATAACAAATATTAACCTCTCAGTCTTCCTTCCTTCCTTCCCCCTTTAACATCAGTAGGTTTACTCTTCCCTAAACTCCAAGATAAAGACACAGACACACAGACAAACACCCCAGAGAACTTTCTGGGAGCTGCTATTATTCAGGCTATGCACCTTGGCTCCAACATTAGGATACAAACACAACACTCATGAATGTGGATTTCTAAATATATGCAAAGCACTATTTGTGCAAATTATCTGACCTCTCACATCTATCTTCTTCAGTAATAAAAGAATGCAGTTAACACTCTACAGGCTTCTAAAGAAGTTTAAGGTTATAATGCTTGACGTCTGTATATGTCAAGCAATATTTAAGAGCAGTCTGAGATGGTAAACCTGATCTGGCTTGCTTATAGAACACAAAAATACAAAGTGCATTTAATAAATTCAACTTTATAAATCTTGACAATATTATAATATTATTAACAATAATATTACAATATTATTAACAATAATATTACAATATTATTAACGTGCTAGACACCCCTTTTCTTTTTTTTTTTTTTTTTTTTTTTTTTTTTTGGTTTTTCGAGACAGGGTTTCTCTGTATTGTTTTGGAGGCTGTCCTGGAACTCACTCTGTAGACCATGCTGGCCTCGAACTCACAGAGATCCGCCTGCCTCTGCCTCCCGAGTGCTGGGATTAAAGGAGTGCGCCACCAACGACCGGCTAGACACCCCTTTTCTGATGACATCCACTAAAGAAGACAAAAAGTGTCTTAAGCTCTTTATCTCACAGACACTGCCATTCACACTCATGTACTTCTAAGTGCGTCACAACTTATAACTCACATCTGTTTCACACACGGCTTATCCCTAAGAACTGTAAAGTGTAGTCTGCCCAAGTTAAATAAAACCCTGAAGGAGTAGTCTACAAAGAAGTGAAGGCTGTCTGTTCATTCTTTAATTCTACTCTGGTGTCATTAATTTCTCTATTATAAACTCCACGCAAATGTCAGCTATGCCTATGATAGTATTTTACTATTTACACACACCCAACACATTGCTTAAACAACACACTCGCACACACAAAATCAACATCAGGGCAGTTACAGCCCACTCTTAACTACATACACACTCTTACACAGACTGTACAGCAGAGATATCAAAAGCCCACCAAGGGCTCAGTCTATGCTTATGTGACACCACCATTTACCACCAAGGGCTCAGTCTATGCTTATGTGACCTAAGCATGCTGCCTCCTTTTGTTTGGAAAAGGCTGGTTACAAAATCGGAATCCTCCTGCTTCCATCTCCTGTCCCTGGAGATTACCGTTCTGGGCCACACCCACTGGTGTTACTTCTTACAATCCATACCCATGTTTGAGACAGGGGCTGTCAGATCAGAGTAGAACGCCATAGGGCTGTGTGTTAAGCAAGGTAACATGCTAAATGTTAGCGACAGTCTCACAACATCCAACATGTTTAGTGGGCGGTATTCTAACTAGCAGTGTCTGGCACTAAGAACTGCTCACCATGAAGATTTAGCACATTTCCTGTTAGAAAACGAGTTCTAGTAACTTTCGTTCTATCTCAAGTTAAATGTTGATTGATAGCAGCAACTGTTTAGGCACATTTTACTGTTTACAAAGTCCTTTTAATACCTTGTAGCATCCATAAACTCCAGTTTACCTCCAAATCATCCTCAAGGGAATAGACATTTTGAAGTCATGCATTTAAGAACTAAGGCAATTGGCTAATAACGCCACGGTTACCACCACGGTGGTCTCCTCCAAGCAGACCCTCCACCTCGGTTAAGTGTTTAGTGCCTTTTTTTTTTTTAACGTAACATCCACTAATAGGAGGTCGAGTCCTGCAAGTTTCCACCTTCCTCAAGCATAGTCAGCAGTTCAGGAGAAAGCCGAAGGTAACAAAATCCAGTGAGAGGCCATCGGCGATACTTAACGTTGCATTGTTTCTGTATGTGGCGTCTACATCTCTAGGGCAGGGGCCAGGTCTGCGTGTAGGTGCTTCCTTCCCTACTACAGCCCTCATCGCAAGACCTAGGAACCACGAGACCCTCAGAAGTGTCTGTGAACGGCACGGGGTGGTGGTGGGCGGTCCAGACCCGCGAGCTGACGCCAACTCTGCGATGGGGACTTAGGCTCACTAGCGCATCAACAGTCGAGGGGCGGAGAGGGTCTGGCGGATTAACCAGGCTGGCAAGGACTGCGGGCCCGCGCCGCTAAGGGAAACCAAGGCAGCTGACCCAGTGTGGTCGAGCCTGGGCGGCAGCTGGAGGCTGGAAGGCTGGGTACCGACAGAGCTCGGGGGCCGGGGAAATCCGGGCAGTTGGCGTCTGGGGGGAGGGGGCCGCCTGCCGGTCTGAAAATGGGCCCAACCCCAACCTGAGGATGGTTCTGCGCTCCTCTAGGGCCCCGCTCCCCATCCCGCGGCGGCCTTGGCTGCACCGAGAACTCGCTGCTACCTGAAACTGCAGCAGCTTCTCGGTCTGCTCCTGAGTTAGATCCTGCTCCTCAGGCGCCGCCATTTTGCCGCCGCCTCTACGCTCCTGACCCGTCCGCACCGTCACCCGCCGGAAGTGATCTCAGGTGCAGCCACATCCGGCCCGAACCGCCGCCGGTCCTCAACTGCGTCTGCGCGCGCCAGCTCGCACGGCCCCGTCCGAATCCCGCCGCCAGAGGGCGACGTTCTCGAGTCTATGCCGACCAATTCCGGAAACCCGCCGAAGTGGGGAGTCTGTCCGAGAGCTGGGATAGCTCAGAAGGTGTCAGACAGAGTCCAAAGGGTCCCAGTGCACCTGCAGTAGCTCCGAAAAGTCCCGCAGTCTGGCTGCTTCTTAAACATTTTCCAGCCATTTCCGATATTCTTGACGATGACTCAGGAAACTATTGCTTTAACGAAACAGCGCCAGTTTGATTCTCAAGTCTTTCCTAAAGTGCGGGCTGCCTTGGAGGCTTGCTCGGAGTGCTTGTCCTAGGGTTAGCCGTGCTTGCGGACCCTCGGGGCTTTGTACCCGGGTGGGAGCCTCGTCTGGTCTCAAGCCCAGGTCCTATGCCACTTCATCCCTTTGACAGACCAAGCAAGGATAGATACTTGGACTAGGTCCAGGCGACTTGACTTTAAGTGTATTTGACACCTTGCAAACGACCAACTACCTGAACTGTTACTTTTTGTTGAATGCGGTTAATTTACAGCCTCATTATGCCTCCCCTACCTTTTCCAGGGCCAACGAGGCACACTCCAAAAACCTCCAGCCTTGAGAGGCTAAGGCAGGAGGATCTTGAATTCAAGGCCAACCTGGGCTGCATAATCAGACCCTGTATCAAAACCACAACCAAGGACAACACCCCTCTCGGCTCCCATTTTTTTCTAAACTTTAGAACATTCTAGAGCAATACTGTCCAATAAAAATATGTGGACCACACATACAATTTAAAATAGTAGTCACTCTAGGGACAAGTGAACTTGTGCTGATGGGAATTCCATTCACTATGGAAATCAGTATAAAGATGCTCCTCAAAATTAAAATCAGAACTACTACATAATCCAGCCACACCAGTTCTGGTATATGCCTGCAAAAATCAAATTAGTTTACTATAGAAATACCCATATTCGGGCTGGAGAGATGGCTCAGCAGTTAAGAGCACTGACTGCTCTTCCAGAGGTCCTGAGTTCAAGTCCCAGAAACCACATGGTAGCTCACAGCACCTTGAATAAAATCTGGTTCCCTCTGCTGGCATGTAGCCAGAAGATTGTATACATAATAAATAAATAAAATCTTTAAAAAAAAACAAATACCCATAATCACATATTTACTGATGCACAATAAATTATAGAATCAGCCTAAGTGTCTACCAATAAATGAATCGATAAGGAAAATTCTGTATATAACTGGGCATGGTGGTGAACACCTTTAATTCCGGTACTCTGTTGGCAGAGTCAGGTGGAAACCTGAGTTCCAGGCCGACCTGATCTACAGAGCAAGTTTCAGGACAGTCAGGGCTATACAGAGAAACCCTGTCTTAAAAAAGAAAAAAAAAAAAAAAAGTAAGGGGCTGGAGAGATGGCTCAGCGGTTGAGAGCACCGGCTGCTCTTCCAGAGGTCCTGATTTCAGTTCCCAGCACCCATATGGTGGCTCACAACCCTCTTCTGGCATGCAGGTATACATGCAGAGCACTCATTCATAAAAAATAGAAATAAAAATTTAAAACTCTGCATATATGTAATGGGATTTTATTCAGCTATAAAGAAGAATGCACTTATGTTGTTTGCGGGGAGGCGGGTGGGAATGGAGACCCCCATGTTAAGTGAAGTAAGCCATTTTCACAGTGTAGTACGTTTTCTGACATATGTAGAATCCAAAGATGAAAGGAAGAGGATTAGCAGGGAAGGACGAAGGGGAAAATGTGGTGCTGGGGGGTTAAGAAAGAATGAAATGATCAAAGTATACTTACATATATATGTGGAAATATCCTTTACTTTGTATAATTAATGTAATACTAATAAACGCCCCAAGGGCTCTCTCAGCCGGGACTCTTGTGGGAGGACCTAGGCCCTGCCCTGGATGAAATGACAGTTACTGGAGATCCACCATGGAGGGCCTCACCCTCCTTGGTGATCGGAGTGGATATTGGGTGGAGGACTGGGGGACCTGGTGGGGAGGGCAGAAGAGGAGGGGAGGGAGAAGGAGCTGGGATTGACATGTGAAACAAGATTGTTTCTAACCTAAATAAAAAAAAAAAGCTCCAAGGGAAGGACTAGGCAGATGAGCTAATTGGTTAAGTGTCTGCCCTGAGTTCAGATTCCTAGCATTCACATAAAAGTCAGGCCCCACAGTGCTGATCTGTAATACCAATGCTGAAGGGCAGAGACAGGCAGATCCCTGGAACTCACTGTCCATCCAGCCTAGCCAAATTGTCCCAAATTTGGGACACAGCCCAGCCAGCCTGTCCCAAAAAAGTAAGGTAGAAAGGCTGGAAAGGTGGCTCGGTGGTTAAGAGAACTTGCTACTCCCGTAGAAGACCTGTGCTCAGCTCCCAGCACCCACATCTCACAACTCATACATCTCCTAACTCAACTCTCAGGGGATCTGAAGTCCTCTGGGCTGCTGCTTGGGACTACACCTCCCTGCCTTGACGGACTCTTATCCCTCCAGAATCCTAAGTCAAAATACACTCTTCCTTCAATAAGTTGCTTTGGGCGTTTCACCACAGAAAGGAAGAAGTAATCAACATACATTCTTAATTATGTTCTATAGATATTAGGAAGTCATCAAAGAAATCTTTATTCAATGTTTGCTTTGAGGACAGATGTCATCAAAGGTAAATGGTGCATAGCTATTGCCTTCTGAAAACACACAAATAAATAGAAAATTAAATGGATTTCATCAACTCTCTGGAAATGTGTGTGTGTGTGTCAGAGGGATGAGAGAGACAGAGAGAGAGACAGAGAGACAGAGAGAGACAGAGACAGAGAGGTGTTATTATTTACTGGGTTCTAGTCTTATGCCTATACCATACCAAGTCTTGTGACTGAACAATTATCTCAGAGAATTTACTTTATATTTGTTTCTCTAGTAATAAGGTTTGCCAATGCCTTGCAATTTTGTTTCTTTTTTTAGTTTATTTTGTTTATGTGTATGGGTATTATTTTTTAGTTTATTTTGTTTATGTGTATGGGTGTTTTTTTAGTTTATTTTGTTTATGTGTATGGGTGTTTTTTTGTTTATGTTGTTTATGTGTATGGGTGTTTTTTTGTTTATGTTGTTTATGTGTATGGGCGTTTTGCCTACATGTATGTGAGTGCATCACTTTCATGTCTGGTGACTTCAGAGGCCAGGAAAAGGTATTAGATACTCTGGAATTGAGTTGCAGAAGGATGTGTGCCCATACTTGGGTGCTGGGAATCAAACCCAGGTCCTCTGGAAGATCAGCTAGTTCTCTTAACTGCTGAGTCATCTCTCTGCCCCCCTTTTTTTATTCCTTAAATTTGTCCTATTGATTTTTTACTTATTTATTTTATCATCTGGGTGTTTTGCCTGACTGAATGTATTGCACCATATTTGTTCCTGGTGCTCTTTGAAGGTCAGACGAGGGCATTGGATTCTCTGGAACTGGAGTTCTAGATGGTTGTAAGCCACCATAGGCGTGCTGAGAATTGAAGCTAGATCCTCTGCAGGAGCAATATGGGTTTTTTTTTGTTTGTTTGCTTGCTTTGTTTTAGTTTTTGGTTTTCAAGACAGGGTTTCTGGAATTGCTGAACAGTCCTGGGTCTTGCTTTTACCCCAGGCTGACCTTGAACTCACTGAGACCACCTGCCATGACCTGCTGAGCCACCTCTCCTACCTCTACTATTTGGTTTCTGATGAAGAACAAATTCTGTCCCATAGAGACATGGAAACCCTAGGGCAAGTCCTCATTTCTGAGTAGCTAGAACATATGATGTTTCCTATCAGTTGAGAGCACGGCACTTTGATTGCTGGATGCAGCACGCGGTGAAATGTATGGTGTTTGGATAGCAATGGTCACCAGAGGATCTTAGAGGACAGCGCTATTAGGAGTAGGTGTAGCTGGAGGAAGTGTGTCACTGGGTGCGGGCTTTGAGGTCTCAGAAGCTCAGATCCGTCTTTTCCCTACTTCTTGAGATCAAGATGCAGAACTCTCAGCTCCTTCTCCTGCACCAGGTCTGCCTGCAGGGTGCCAGGGTTCCCGCCACGGTGACAATGGACTAAACCTCTGAGCTGTAAGCCAGTCCCAATTAAATGTTTTCTGTTGTGAGAGTTGCTGTGGTCATGGTGTCTCTTCACAGCAATAGTAACCCTAGCTAAGACACCATGTCAGCAGTAGTTTTTATTGGCCGTATGCTGAAGACCCTCAGGGTTCTGAGAAGGCTATCAGGACTGATAGAACAAGTTAGACTTTATGTGAGTCACAAGACATATCTCATGTTCTTCAGGAAGATCTGGGTACAAATACTGATGTCACCAAGGTGTGGTGGCACATGCCTTTAATCCCAAGACTTCGGAGGCAGCCCAATCTGTATAGTGAGTTCCAGGAGAGTCAGGGCTATGATACTCTGTCTCAAACACACACACACACACACACACACACACACACACAGAGAGAGAGAGAGAGAGAGAGAGAGAGAGAGAGAGAGAGAGAGAGAGAGAGAGAGAGAGAGTACTGGTGTCATTGATTGATTGTGTGACTACAGCCAGTTAAGCAATTCCTCTAAACCTGTTTGCTCGCCTTCACCTGAAAGCATACTGACATGATACCTGTCACACAGGACTGTGACGAGGCTTAAATTGGAAGGCATCTGAAATGGCACTAGGGAGTGGGCCGGCAGATGCCACACTGTTGCTGTAACCACATATGCCACCTTTGTAGGGGCTGGTCCTAGGCCACACCATGAAGAGGCTTTGTCAAAAGGTCTTCTTCATTCCAGCCCTCCATTGCATAAGCTGTTTTTCACGGTTCCTAAGGTGGGGCAGATGATGGAGTCCACCTTAGTAATGCTTCACTTACAGGAAGGAACTACTCTCCTAGTGTTTGCCCCACCCCAGCCTTAGTGCAAAATCCTACCGGAACCATTTGCTCAGATTAT